AAAAAAAATCCGACCATAGAAAATGGGGAGAGAACTCTGTATCCGGGTATGTTCTAGTTTTTTTTTTCTTTTTTTTTCGACGCAAAATTATCTACCACAAATAAAGATCGGACTGGGTTGAGTGATATATCAAATTAAAGCCCTCTCAGTCAAAGGTTCAAGATTCGAACATTATCAAAAAATTTCGAAAAAGTTTCCCTTAGGAATCAAAAACTTCAAAAGTTTGAGGAAAAATGTTTGAAAAATTATTCGAAAAAATTTCGATTTTTTTTTTGTTTTTTCGATTTTTTGTTTTTTTGTCTGCAAAAATTGCTTTCCAATTTGCTTTCCAATTTACAATGACTGACGATAAAGCCTCAGTTTTTTGCTCAGATTCCTTTATCATATCAAGTTGAAAAAACGACGCAAACTGGAAAAAAAAAGTTGTAATTTTTTAAGACTGGTCCGAGCATTATGTGCTACTTGCACAGTAACCGGCTATCGTTGTATCGTTTGTAATCGATTTAAGTATGATCCCAATACAACTTAATTTGCATGCTTTTATTTACGTCTTTTTCTGATCAAATCGATTCTAAATCAATCTTAATCCAAAGTCGTCAGTGCGGAAAAAAAACTAGCATATCATTTCCGCAAATGTACATTTAAAAAAAAACTTTTTTTTGACTTCATACTATATGAGTTACCATTCACAAATTGAGAAAAACAATTATATCTTTTCAATGTTGAAGCAAGCAAGCATTGTAAGACGAAAGAAATCTTCAAAATCATAGTTCTTACCTTTAACCTAGTCAACTCTTTTTTTTCCCACAAAAAACCACAAATTGCGGTCGGTGTTTTTGTTCTGCTTCGAAGCTTAATGCAAAAACAACCAGTGGAAAAAATTTGTTGGCGGATTTTAATTTTCTTGATCGTTCCGTTTTTTGTAACGAAAGTAATGAAATATTTGTGCTCGTGGTGGTTTTTTTTCTTCAGATAAATTTCGACATTTTAACAAGCCATTTTTGACGGATTTTTTTATATCATTCGGAAAGTGTTGTTGTCATGAGCTCAAATTGAAACAAAATTCCCTGTGATCCTTTTTGGTAAGTTTATAGGGATTTAAAGACTGCCTTTTTGGCCAATGTAAGACAATTAACGCGCAAAATATTTCGCGCTATTAACGCGTGAGCGGAAGCGGAGGTTTAATCCGTCTTAAAAACCGTTCCAAATTGATCGAAGGAAGCTTATTTGCCATAATTGGTTTGTTACTAGGAGCAAAATTTATCACTTTGTACTTTATAAGGCGTGTGGGGGGATGATTTTCACAAATTATCTCAATATTTTCTATAATTTTTTTTTCAATTCACTTGTTTCTTATTTATTTCATTTGTTATATTTTGTATGGCGTGTGGGGGGGGGGGGTTGATTTTCACAAGAAACTCAATTTTCAAATAGAAAAAAAACTTTCGTTTCATTTTTTACATTTAACTTTTTCGTTTTATTACTGCTCTTTAGTCGTTAAAAAGCAGACGGAACAATCAGGGCTTCGCTCTGATCCGTGTAGTTTTGTTGTTCCGACTTTCGATACGAAAGTAACGGAATATTTGTGCTCGGGATGGTTTTTTTTTTCTTCAGAGAAGTTTCGACTTTTTAACTAGCCATTTTTGACGGAATTTTTTTATATCATTCGAAAGCTATTGTTGTCCTAAGCTTGAATTTGAAAAGATATTTTACCTGTGATCATTTTTCATAAAGTTATGGGGGTTTAAAAACTGCCATTTTGGCCAATTTGGGACAATTAACGCGCGATAAATTCCGCGCTATTAACTTGCAAGCGAGATTTAATCCGTCTAAGAAATCGTTCCAAATTGGTTCAAGGAAGCTTATATAACATAATTGATTTGTTAATAGGCGCAAAATCTATCACTTTGTACTTAATATGACGTGCGGGGGGATGTTTTTACATAAAATCTCAAACTTTTTAGAAAAAAAATTTTTTTTTCTTATTACATTGAAATTTTTCATCTTATTAATGCCCCATAGACCTTAAAAGGCAGTCGGAACTTTCAGGGCTTCGCCCTGACACGAGCAGTCTTGTTCAGTTTTAATTTCAGCTTCGCTGATAATTTTTCCGAGGAAAGCAAGATCATTCACCAACCAACTGCTGGCTTTGAGAAACGAAATCAAGTTAACATCCTTTTATGCAGGTCAGATTAAAAATGGACTTTTCTTTGATTAAATACCTTTTTAACAGAGTTTTCAGTAGTTTAGCATATCCTGCACTTCTTGGGTTCTTTTTAGGCTTAGTTACCTTAAGAGGAATCATACTGTTCTTTACTGTTTATCGGCTGTTTTTTTCATCTGATTCTTCCTGTAATGTGACAGCAGTTATAACATTTGATTTAGAAGGAATCGGCGAAATCACATCTTGGTAGAAAGGACCAAAAAAATACTTCAATAGAATATATCTCTATTTTTGAAAATTTTGTTCTCATTTTATTCAAGAAAATGACACCAAAAAAGGTCCTTATTTTTACATACATCAAAGAAAAGACCCCAAATTAGAAACGAAAAGAACACAGAAAACTCAAGTTTGAGACAGGCTATGCTGAACTTCGGATACAACTTAAAAAATTTTTGTAATAGAATGAATGAAATAAAACATTATTAACTGAACCGTCAAAATTAACTGCATACTGCAAAAACTTAAAAACAAAACCCCGTAAAAAAACCTTTGATAGCTTTTATTAAGCTCCGCATTTTCTTTTAAAAAACAAAAACTTTTGTTTCCATTTGAAACTTTTTTGAAGCAGAAGGCATAGCGCGCTGATTAAACAGTAGGCTTTTTTTGAAAAAAAAACGCCCAAAAATAAATGAGGCCTAATTTGTAAAATAAAGCTCAATTGTTGCACAGAAGTTTTTAGTGCAAAAACGTAGCAACAGTGTTTTTTAATATGGCCATTCTACAAAAAACGTTTTCTTGAAAAACTCAAGGTCACCTCATAAAAACTCTAGATACGCGCCTGTTCAATTCTCTGGCAAATAGAATTGAAACTGTGGTGTCATTTTTGCTTTAATAGCGACATGATTAATCATAGAAAATGGAATCAATCTTGGAAAAATCTGGGCGAAGTTTTGATCAAAAAAGCATCCCATCTAAAACTTACTGGATCAAACTCCTATCATATCTTCCCTCCATCGAAGCTGAAAAGGGTGGAGTGATGTTTCATTTATCCAATTTAGTTGAAATATTGGACTGTGGCACATTCCGTTCAATGACAGATCTCGTCCCATTTTAATTTCAACATATTTCGTCTCATTTCAAAGCGTACACAGATTCCGTCCCACAAATTTCGATATGGGATGATAGGGTGTTGGATAAGGGACAAAATCTGTGTGGGACGAAATCTGTTAATTAAATCAATAGGACGAAATCTGTAGTATACGAAATATCGAAAAATTGAGCTTGGTGGTCAGCTCAGATAATCCGATGATCCGACAAAAAAGACTCACAGCAGATCAACTAGTCACCTTGCCTTAATTTCACGCCCCAACTGCTTAGGAAAAACATAAATAACCATAAGACACTACCGATCCAAGAAAAAATTCTATAATGATCAAGTGTTGATGAATTTATCCATAATTTATCCCGTACTGTAAAAATTAATTTCCCTTGAGTCAATTAGCATACCAGACACAGAGTTGTAATTGTTTCATCCATATGTAACAGTTTGCAATTCCAACAAGACCGCTCGTATCAGGGCAAAGCCCTGAAAGTTCCGACTGCCTTTTAAGGTCTGTGGAGCAATACTAAGATGAAAAATTTCAATGTAATAAAAAAAATTTAAAAAAATTTTTGAAAAAATTTGAGATTTTATGTAAAAACATCCCTCCACACGTCATATTAAGTACAAAGTGATAGATTTTGCGCCTATTAACAAATCAATTATGGCATATAAGCTTCCTTGAACCAATTTGGAACGATTTCTAAGACGGATTAAATCTCGCTTACGCGTTAACAGCGCGAAATTTATCGCGCGTTAACTGTCCCGAATTGGCCAAAATGGCAACCTTTAAACCCCCATAACTTTACGAAAAAATGATGACAGGTAAAATATCTTTTCAAATTTAAGCTCAGGACAACAATAGCTTTCGAATGATATTTAAAAAATTCGTCAAAAACGGCTAGTTAAAAAGTCGAAATTTGTCTGAAGAAAAAAAAACCCACCCCGAGCACAAATATCCCGTTACTTTCGTATCGAAAGTCGGAACAATAACTAAAAAAATTAATAACATGGTAAAAATGTCGATGTGCAAAATAAAATTGCATTGAAGCAAAAGAGATAAGTTTTATTTCGGTGTCGGCGGAATTTCATTGTTGCGGTTTTGATAGGCTGAAAAATTTTTTGTTCCAGTGACCGAGTCAACTTTATCTCTCCTACACTGGATTGGGTTGGGGGAACTTTCACTTGGTCAGCTGTTCCAAATAAAATTTAAGCCAAAATTTGAATATGCTTTATCGCTCAATGCAAATTGAATTGACATAAGATAAAAAATAAACGGTAGATCTTAAAGCATCACCTGTCAATTTTTCAAATTTATAGGAGAAATTGAGAAGATCATGTCTATCTTTGTTTACAAAGAATGATAAGACTAATTTCGCGGCAGGTTATGACGCTCAACCCAAAAAGCCACTGAGTGATAGCAAAAAAAACTCAAAATTCATTAGCATTATATTCGCAGCTGAAAAGTTACACAATAAACGACCTTGAAGTTGTCAAATGCTTGAGAAAAATCAAAACACTCGTTTTTTATACGGCTATTGCACTTCGCTGATAACGCTACGAGGCTCATTCAAACGACTGTCACATTCAAGTTGTCAGAAAACCTACTAAAGAACACCAAAAACTATGCTATCTGTTTTAATTTTGTTTTCTGATTTCTTAAAACAAAAGTTTGAAAAGTTTTTTCTGCGCTGCTTTTTTTTATCTACTAAAGCTCAATTTCGAGGACAAAGTGGATTTTAAAAAAGGTTCCAATTTTTATTTCAAGCAATTCGTGCATGTCAAAATGAAAGATTTATCACATATCGTTAATGAATTCAAGACCCTGAGCTCAATTACAATCACAACAGAATTGCTTTTTGAATTGTTACAGCACAAAACATGGTTTATAATTACATCTACTATGAATAAATGCTTTCCTCTTAAAGCAACTTCAATTACCAAAATCCTGGTCTGGGATTTGAGGAAAATTTAAAATTTTGATTGAAATCACTGCTTGCCAGAAATTATTTTTTAAATACATCGTATAAAAAAGTACAAAACGAATACTCTAGAATTTGTTGTAGAATTTGTTGTAAATCGATTCAGCAAGATCGTAAAATTTTGCAAACAAATCAAACATGCGCCAATATTTGAGTTAGTTTTCGGTTATTAGCTCCTTTTTTCAATTTTTTTGTCAGTTTAAAACTTAAAGCGGAATTTAATCATAAACATGATTAAAACAATTTAATCTAATCCTCTCTTTCATGAAGTTTTGCGACAAGGTATTGCATCACACCCCCTTGTCAGATTTCATACGCGTCCTGTTCTCTCTATGCACCCCCCTTCGCCTCAATCGAATCCTATGCCCCCAATGTTGTGTTCCTGCTGTTCGGCTCTCTGCATGTCTCGCTCCCGCTCCTCCTCCACGATCAAGTCCGTGAATCTTTTCCTCACCCAACGGGGAGCCTTGCTAAGACTGTCCCTCTCCTGGCGCACCTGGAAGGGGGGAAATTTTACAACTAAATCAGTCTGAAAACTTTTCACGCACTTTTGAAAAGATTGAAAGCTCGGTTTTTTTTTCAGTGTTAAGTTTTTCATCTAACCGCTTGTTTTTTTGGCGGTGGGGAGCGGGGGGATTGGGGGGGGGGGCAGTTGTGAAGCAAAGTCTTAAGTGAAAATAAGATCCTCAAAACAAATTAAAAAATTATTCTATTATTTTAACATGAAATATTGATTATAAAATCAAGTAAAAGACTGCTCGTATCAGGGCGAAGCCCTGAATTTTCCGACTGCCTTTTAAGGTTTATGGAGCAGTAATAACATTTAAAAAAATTGAATGAAATAAAATAAAATGAAAGTTTTTTTTCTAAAGTTTGAAATGTTTCAAACCCCCACAAAATCATCCCACCACACGCCATATAAAGTACAAAAAGATAGATTTCGTATTTCGTTCCTTGTAACAAATCAATCATGGCAAACAAGATTCGTTCAACAAATTTGGAACGATTTATAGGACGGAGTAAATCTCCGCTTACGCGTTAATAGCGCGAATTATATCGCGCGTTAATTGTCCCAAATTGGTCAAAATGGCAATCTTTAAACCCTCATAACTTTACGAAAAATGATCATAGGTGAAATATCTTTTCAAATTTAAGCTCAGGACAACAATACCTTTTGAATGATATAAAAATTCCGTCAAAAAAGGCTAGTTAAAAAGTCGAAATTTGTCTGAAGAAAAAAACCCACCCCGAGCACAAATATTCCGTTATTTCGTATCGAAAGTCGGAACAATAAATTATTAATCACTTTTATCTAACAATCTGTGCCTTATATGTTATAATATCCAGAAGAAAAAATTTTGAAACACGATTACTTTGATTTAATTTTATCCAGAAAGACATAGAATATGATGGGTGAATGCCCAAAAATTTTAAAAGCCTCCATTAATTATTTCTCCTTCTGACGCTACCCTGCAAGGTTCACTCAATGAAACATCTTGAAAAACTTTTTTTATCATATCTGCACAATAAATTTTAAAGACTTCCCTGTTTTTTTGCAGAAGTCAATATGTGGAAAAATATTTGAAGAAAATTCGAAAATTTGTATTACCTGTTGGTGGAACTTGTCGAGGTGGTGCAACACTAGTTCTATGCTCGCCTCACTCATCGAAGACTGCAGCTGCACTTGCACGGACCTAGAAACCCACACACACTAATTACACTGAACATCTCAAGTGTTTTACACCCAAGGTGGCGCTAACATATCAAAAAAGTAATTTTACTTCTGTAAAAGTGAAGTTTCGCGGCTTATCTCTCTATAATGCTCGCTTTACTTGCTCAAAACTGAACTGAACTTAAAGCCAAACTTTGTCATTACTGCAACTATTTTTTAAAATTTTCTTGTCCTTCCAATCACGACTGCATGGGCTTTAATTCGACTCATCCGATGATTCTTTGTGGCAACTGATTTTCGTAAGGTGACAACTTGCAAGAAAAGATAATTGCAAAAAGTACAACTCGTGTAAATTATCTAATAGGATGACTCGCAAAACGCGATATTTCGCAAATAAATGGTAAGATTTTTACTTAATTAACCTTAAACTAAGAACCGTAATCCCCCACTAAATATCCGTTGAGTTTATACTTAATTCTAAACAAGTAATTGGGAGAGACAAGAGTCTTTTTGTTCGTTTAACACCAAAAATTGATTCGAAAAATTGAATGCATTTATTGGTAAAACATCATTTAGTTTCAAAACAATTTCCTACTTATTTCTACAGGAAGATATTATACGTGGAACTCTACAAAAATATCCACATTTCAAACCAGCTGTATTGAACCAGTTCAACAATGCGATAAATGGAAATCAGAAAACCAATAATTCGGTCGAAGAATCGCATAGAGCTATATAATAAGTAAAGGAGTATGTCATCCCACTCAAAGTTCCTTAACCAAATACGGAAGGAGCAAACTTTAACCGTAATTTGCTTTCTTCGGTTCAAATCCGAGAAAGCCTTACAAATGTCCTAAATATGAACTGTTGCAACAAAAGATATCATAAAGTCCTAAAAATTTTCTATAAAAAAATCTAATTATGCAGCTGAATTTTCTTTCAATTACCTTTGATCAGTAAAGTCCCTTTATATCAAAAAAACTCTAGACGCCTGAAAGGCTTTGAAGTTTTATCGCTTTTTTGTTTCACATTTAGGTTAAAGGAAAACTTAAATTTTCCGAGTTTTTAACGAGTTGTCTTTATTTGCGAGTTGTCTTTTTCTTAAGAGTTTTTGAATTTTCTTCAAGTTGCCTTTTGTTGCGAGTTGTCGCGGTACCCCTGATTTTATGTGGAAAACAAAAAAAAACAACCGAATACAAATTTCGGTCCTCCCCATTTTCAGAACAAAACAAATTGGAACAAAAAGTTGGAGCGAAGTGAAATTAGAGAACCAACAAATCTCAGTTTGTACTAAGATCTAAAACAGTATATATTGTAGTCGGTAACAAAGGAGCCTTATCTGCATGTCGCATCTCGTTTGATAAACTTCCCTTTTCATCTGCGAGGTCATTTGACATTTCATTTGGGCAAACGTTGGACGTACTACACCATATGAGAGCATAACTTCAGATTTTTTTAACTACCCCCTTCCCCTCCCCTTGCAAAAGAGGTTGATTCGCTACTTCGCTACTAGGTCCAAAATCTATATATGATTAATCGTTGAATTATCTTTTATAGGGATGGCAGTTCGGTTCAAGGCACCATAGGGGGGGATAGTAAAAGAGATCTTACTCTTCACTATCACATCAAGAATTAACCGATCTCCTTTTAAATGTACAGGAGATTCCAAATAATGATATAGGAGCAACTAGCCAGTCAAGAAGTAAACGCACGAAGTGTCTGATCAAATTTCTCGATAAGCATGACAACAAACTCGATAAGCATGGCCACATGGGTTGAGGTCCGCGACTTTTGTCCAGACATTCGCGGCCAAAAGTAGCCATTCATACGCTTTAGCAACCAAAATTATCAGTAGCATTTTTCGCGATCAAGGCGGAGATGGCGCAAACCGACTTTTGCAACCTTTATTTGATATTTCCTGACTTTCGCTACCAAATCTTACAACTTGCAATTTTCAACGACGAAGATTGAGACGGGGCGACCCAGGGAAAAGCGCAATTCACAAGCGTTGTAATCCGGAGCACTAATGTCACAAGAAATCGCTCAGAAAAAAAATTAATCATAAGATTTTTTCTTGTTTCTGAAAATACGAAGCTTCCATATTGATGTATAAGAATTTCTTCTGTTAAGGACTTTTCTTCAGTAGGATATTGCTTCTCGAATTTTTGAGATCAATCCAATCAGATTAATTCTTTTTTTTTGTTTAGACTTTCACAGTTGCGCCAATTGGAACCTGATATAAACTACATTTTATGATTGGATAAATTAGATTTTTTACCACTGTAAAGTATTTAATATTAACCAATCATGATCCATCTAACTAACAACCCACTTATTTGTAAGTGCTGAAATTACTTGTAATTTCAGCACCAGAGAGATTTGAATTTAACTTAGAAATTAGTTGCCTCTCCAAAGGAACTTCAGCAGCCGCAATAAACCAGTATACCCTAGATCTATTGAGCCTAGCAGAGACTAGTTAAACAACCTGAGACTAGATAGTATAAGAGTAAGATTAGGATCGGTATTAGACTAAGAAGTTGCACGAATCTACGTTGACACACTTTCAAGACGAACCTATTTCTGGGATACCGCAGTCCCATGTGGATCAGAAAATAGCCACAATGTAGTACAACTGAACCCTGATGAAGATACCCAAATATTGACCTACAATCAATTGGAATATATTCAAAATCCGATATCCAACATCACATTAGAACACAACAATTCCAACAATTATTAACACAAATGGACACTATACAAAGACAATCAATTGACCAAAACTTACGCAAACTTGCCGAAACCGCAGGATTTGCAGACATCTATACGCAAGACTATAGCGGATATTTTAAAGACATTAAAGACTATATATATCTAAACGGTGAAAAATACCGACCACAAGATATCCCACCTTTAAATATTTTTAGCTTTGTTACACTCAAAAATGAAATTCTTGATTTTCTAGGATGGCCCTATTACATCTTAGAAAAACTAACTATTTTATACGCAATGTTTAACTTTATAGGATTTCTTTTTTCACTCTTAAAAGGAATCTACAACACATGCGCTATACACACACAAGTAAATAGACAAGCAAGTGTAGCACGCATACTATTTGCAGGATTTTTGGGAATTTTTTCATCATAAATAAACAAAATTCTTTTAGACGCACAAATAAAAGAATACAACACAAAAATAGCAACAAGACAGAACACATATGACGAAGAACATAACAATGTAGACATAACGCCTACAGCACCACAGTTACCACCCCTACCACATAACCATCCATTATCACTAGTCCCACGAAATTTTCGAAATTTAGCAATAACACATAATCAAAATTTTAGACCAACCATATCACAAAGTCCCATTCAACATATAATGACACACCATTCACTAGATGAAAATACATATGAACAAATTATAGAACAACCCCATACCACCACTTTTCAGTCTCAAAATAACAATTTTTTTAGCCCACGATGAGCCGACAACTTGGATCCCTACACCGCTCAAATTCCCACCCAACCAACCTCAACATTCCAATTACAATAATTCCACTTTTTGCTTTCCCGCCACCCGATTTCCCAACCAATAATATAACATCAGGCATGAATTCAGACACTAATTCACATATCTCAGTTTTATACTCCATTTCACAACTCAATAACCCAAATATTGAAACCCCTGATGAATTTGCAGACTCTGAACCATCTCCATCCAATAATTTTCAAACCAACCCCTCAGTTTTTTCAAAACCCCCTTTTTAACCAATCCCACCAAATAACCCACTACCATCCATTTCTACACCCTCTTATGCTTCACAAGTCACCCCAACCTACTCTTCACTTCATTCAGACCGATCATCCAATTCTCCAGACACCCCCCAAATCTCCCAAGAACTAGATAATTTTATCACCCTACAACAACAACCCTTCCACCTTGACACCCCCACTATAAACCAGATTTCATCCATAATAGAATCATCAAACCCACCTACTCCTACACCCTCTTCAGCTTATACCGCATCATTAGCACCATCATCCACATCCACCGAATCATCAATTAGCACTAATAGAGCTTACCGCACTTTCAAAAGAAAATTCCCAAACCATCCATTTCCAACAAAACCATAAACAGCCCGTGAATATATTAATCATCCAAATCACACTAACACGAAAGATTTTTTAGCCATCACCTTACCCTCATTTCCACAGTATACTTTGAATACCCCTAACGACACTAACGACACACGTAGTTTTGTAGATGAACAAGTTTTAATGCCTACACTTCATTGGACATCATATTATCATTTTACTAACCCCCTTTGCCTACCTTTATCTAATACTCACATCGATATAGAAAGAAATCAAGATATGCTATATCGACTCACTACACAACTAACACATAGACAATTTACTTATATAGGATATAAAAAGTCACTAAAAACATACACTGCACCCCGAGCTAACGAATATACGCTAGAATATTACGATCATAACATCATCCGAGCTAACCAAGACCAATTTTTAGATGATGACCGTTTCGCTAACCCACAAATCACAGAAAAATTCTTCATCAAAACACCATATGTATTTACACTCAATATATTTGATCGCAAATTCGATCACATCATTTCTGAAGCACTAACCGACACACAAGCTTACGAAAGTTTTAAAGAAAATTTTCAATTATTTTCACTAACCTTTCATTTTCTTGCACCACATGAACGAGATTTGCACTGCTCACACGACATTATGTTACGCACTAAACAAACCCACATATATACATATTATCGCTTCATACAAAATCACTTTGATCTACACACTCCATCAAGACAACCACACCACCGTTTTCAATTTATTAACTCTAAATACACTTCACCATTTTTTCTTAACTTCACATATTGCATCAAAGATACTAACCTTCACGGTATTCTTCGCAATTATGATCCCATAACCCAAATGTATATTTTTTGTCCCATCACGAAGACCTTCAACGCAGAAGAATCCAGACCCTTCCTTATCCCACATGAATTTATTCAACCTATAGAAATCCCGATATTAGAATTCATCCACAACACTAAATACAATCACAAATTATATAATCTCATCCAAAACACACCTTATGAGTTTGCAGTTGGCACTGAAGAACTAAAAACCATTAAAGCACTTCAATTGCTTTGGCCACTGCTTCAAACTAAAAACATCCTTCGCATACTAGCAAAATTACTAACTAATTCCGACATAATACACGACATCTTCCCCCACGGTTTTTTCCCCGACGACTAACAGTAAGTATAATTTATACATATTCTTAACTAATAAATTCAAATTAAAAAACTAACTATTCTTTATCCATGTCTTATTTAGATTTTTAGTCTTCATCCCACGATCATCTGCAAAATACACAAAAGAAAAATAAAAAATAGAAAACTTCTTCAAATTGTTCAAAACTCTATTAATATTTTGCACCAGCTAAATTAAATAAAATTCATACCAATGTAGTAAATTAATTTATAAATTGTTTCCCCACAAGCAGTAAATCTCATAATAATGAAAATTTGTAACTTAATTTTTCCCAAAAACTAGCAGTAAAATTGAAATTCTATGTAGTAAATTGATAAAACGAAAATGCAGTACTAACCTTTTGATATTTCTATTCACTCGCACAAAAATTCTATCCAAACTCGCACAGCTCGCACACGAAGAATTGTTTAAATAATGAATTTCAGTTTCAAGCTTTCACACTCAACAACTCTAACACACGATAACACGTTTCTAACTTTCCTTTAACCCGGTTGGAAAGGAATTATATACTAAACAAAACTAACCAATGCAGCTTACTAAACACCACAAATCATAGAATAACAGCATGACTAAGAAAAGGAAACCAACGGTACCCAAACCGGATTAACCCAGTTTAAAACTGGATAATTTATTCTTTTGAAGACTATTATAAAGTCTAAGAAAGAAATAATAAAACACAAAAAAGTCGAAAGACAAACCCATACCAAAAACAATTTGATTTTTGGAAAAAGGACACAACCAACGAAACATAAGAAAAACCACAATAAACCCAACATAAAACGTTATCACATAACAGGACCTCTCACAGAAACCGCACGAAATCATACTCCCACTCCTGGCCTAACCCACCAGAGAGGACGTCCTGAGCATGCTCTATAGCCGGCCTAACCCACCGCGCTACATCCACGCTTTGTGACCACACTCCTATTTTTAATAAGAGGTACTCAAGGGTGAGTAACTCTTCAAAATAACCGAACTAAAACAAAAAGCTTTTGTGAAAACAACTAACCAAAATCATAATTAAAACACCAAACTAATAAAAAATTTATAAAATGTAAATTACACCTTGCAGTATATAGATCAGCATACAACACCAAAGACGAACATCCAAAGACAAAATGACCCCACTACACTCGAAAATAATGGCCAACCACAATCAATATGCCGCCCACAATCACAACTCAAAGGATTTAGAGTACGACTTGACTTCGCAGAAAAGGACTTCATTGAACTAGACCAATGACCACCTCGATGTTCAAGTATACGTACAGATCCGAGTAACCAGGCATCCCCTCCACTCACAATCTCCACGCCATTCCCAGACAAGGTCAACCCAAAAGAAGTTCTCTACACGAAACAGAAAAACCTGTCATAGCCAACCATTCTGAAATCAGATTTGAGTTTGTTGCGAAAACCTAGTCGTTGTCATGAGAAGACACAGCGATTGAACCTGGAACTTCTCTAACAAGAGAACCCAGAAGACTTATGATGTTCACCAAATACCAACGTCCATCATCCATCCTTTGAATTGCAGAAAGACTATTCTAAAAAACTCTGTAAACCCGGATGGGTGGAACCTGATATAAACTACATTTTATGATTGGATAAATTAGATATTTTATACGCAATGTTTAACTTTATACGATTTCTTTTTTCACTCTTAAAAGGAATCTACAACACATGCGCTATATACACACAAGTAAATAGACAAGCAAGTGTAGCACGCATACTATTTGCAGGATTTTTTGGAATTTTTTCATCATCAATAAACAAAATTCTTTTAGACGCACAAATAAAAGAATGCAACACAAAAATAGCAACAAGACAGAACACATATGACGAAGAACATAACAATGTAGACATAACGCCTACAGCACCACAGTTACCACCCCTACCACATAACCATCCATTATCACTAGTCCCACGAAATTTTCGAAATTTAGCAATAACACATAATCCAAATTTTAGACCAACCATATCACAAAGTCCCATTCAACATATAATGACACACCATTCACTAGATGAAAATACATATGAACAAATTATAGAACAACCCCAAGACCCATTTAATGTGCAACTTTATATCAACAATTTGTCGACAGAATTTTGGTAATTACAGACATTCGCGACCCTTGGCACGAACTTCACGACTGTTTAACCAGACTTTGGCAACTTTACCCCTCCAGACTTTATCGAGCAAACTTTGGTTTGTGGAACGACTTTTGAATTTTTGACACTTTGGAGCAATTTTGAGCGGTAGAGAATTTAAGCTACTTTGTTTGTGGAATCCAAAACAGCAAAGAAGATCAAAGAAAAATAGCAATGTTGCGGATTCCGCGGCAAATCTGATTTCGGCCTGTTACGAAATCCGCTTACAATTCAACAAACGCACAGTTTGGCCCGTAATGAATCTTGATCCACGACCCGGGCACGTTAAAAAAATGTTGCTTTGGGTCAATTTTATTGCAACGCCCAGTAAGATTTGTCTATTAATTATAAGCGTACCTTATATGGTTAGCTAGGTGAGTGTAGTTCATGGCCATTCTCTCGTAGTCAGAAGACATCTTAGTGAGAGACAGAGACTGTCTCAGTGCCAGCCAGGAGAGAGTGAGTATTCCGAACAGAGTAGTCACCACTAGCATGCCCTTGCTACCCCCACACGAAGAGCTATCAGAGGCACCCTTCAGTTCAGAGTATCCTGGAAATAAAAAAACTTTCAATGAGAAATATTGAAAGAGGAGAGGAGATTGCTGTACAAGTAGCACAAAATGATCCGCTTGCAGTTTTCATCCAAAAACATTAGCTGATTGAGACAAATTTAAAAACGTTTTTTGTTGTCGATTTCGCTCAAACATTTTGTGTCAAGAGAGCTACTAAAAGCTAGGCTGAGAGCAAACTGGCGATGGCTTCATTCATAAAACCCAAAAGATATTAATGTTAGTGCAATCTTTAGTATAGATTTGTCCAAAAACAAAAAATTAAAATCCGAATAAAAAAAAATTTCAGATGTTTGGTGAGTATTGGTCGAATTAAGGCTTAAAGAATTAAGTCTGACAATAACCCATCTAAAGATTTTGGCATTGTTGTGATTTGTGTTTTATTTTTTGTATTTTGACCTCTAGTTCTTCATTAGATACCTGTTAATTTCTGTCAATTCGAAGTCTATTGGACTTCGCGGCCTTTATCTATTCTCTTTAAAAAAGACAGTTTTAATTCAGTTCATTCTGTTTTAGTCTTTAAGCCTTAGCTTAGTTAATCTAAAGTATACGAGTGGTATTTGAATACTTTTTATTAGGCACCTTATTCTACAACTGAAATGAACTACTTCATATGCTATGGCTACAAGAATAGTCGCAGGGAAAAAATCGACAATTTTTGACTGATGAACATATTTTTAAGTATCAATTTTTCAATTTTTCACAAAAACCGAAATCCTTCCAAAATTTGGCTATCAAACAAGCATCCAAGGGCAGATATAGCATTTTTTCTAGGGGGCGGATTTTCAAAAATTTTGCTGACCTTTTATTTTTTTAGGCCGACAAAAAAAATTAGAGGCGTTTTAGGCACTTTTTGGAAAGCTCCCCCCTCAAAATATGTATAAATTGGCGCCAGAGACGCCTTTTAAAATTTTAAGTGTCCGTCAGCCACAAATGGATATCTTAAAATAGTGCAAAAGGGGATCAAAAATTTTTCCGACTCAAACTTTGTTGGTCAATAATTTTTTCGATTTTGGTAACGAAAAAAAACGAAATGTTTGTGCTTGAGGTGTTTTTTTCTTCAGACAAATTTTTAACTTGACACATTTGACGGAATTTTTTATGTCATTCAAAAAGTACTGTTCTCCTGAGCTTAGATTTGAAAAATATTTCACATGTGATCATTTTTCTTAAAGTTATGGGGGTTTAAAAAATGCCCCTGGGGGTTTTAAAAATTGTCGCGATATATTTGGCGCTATTAACGCGTAAGCGGAGATTTAATCCGTCTTAGAAAATGTTCCAAGTTGGTTGAAGGAAATTTATTTGCCACAACTGATTCGTTACTAGGAGTAAAATAAAATCTATCACTTTGAGTTTTATATGCCGTGTGGAGGGATTATTTTTACAAAGAAAAACTCAAAAAAATTTTTTGTTTGTTTTATTACCTTTATTTTTAGACATTTTTACTGCTACATAAAAAATATTGAAACTATGATAAAATTGTTACATTATTGTCTTGATATTTCGGTATCAGTATATGGGGGTTTGTTGAACATCCGCCGTGATTTGGAACAATTAAAATAATGTATTAAAAACCGACGAAATTAGAGACGAATTTGGAAGGGACAATTTGGGTTTTAAAAAATAATTTAAAAATCAAATCTAGAAAAAAACAAGACTGCTCGTATATCAAGGCAAGGCCCTGAATTTTCCGTTTGTCCCTTAATTAAAATCGAACGGTTTTAGGGAAACGAAAATTTTGAAAACATTCACCATTTGGACAATATCAAGGAGTAAAGTTTTGAGGCGTACGAAATTATAACGACCAATTAGCTAGCCTCAATTCAATTTGGAACGAATGGGTTGTGCGGGATAATACGCCACTCATAAGTAATTTGCGTTATGCTCTCAGCATTATTATTAAACTCTTCAAAGGGCGCATAATACAGTCCAGAACATGGCAAATTTGGCAATTTTCAAACCCACAGAACTTTACAAAAAATAATTGGAGGTTAAATATCTTTTTACACTTGAACTCAGGATGTCCATATTTTCAATGGGGCATAAAAAATTTCGATGAAAATTGTTATTTCGATCGGTTGACTGATTAAAAAAAAAGCACACCGAACATAAATATTCCGTTTTCTTCGAAAGTCGGATCAACAAATGCTTGCCATGTTTTGCAACTGTCCTTTGAGGTTTTTTAACTACTGCAAGGTTTGCCTTCCAAGTACCCAGTGTATTGAAAATTTTATTTGGAAATTCGTCAGATGTAAAGATTTAAAGTGGCTTTGAGTTCTAAAAAATTCCATTACCCACGTATTAACAACAAACTATTTAAAATCAGAGTGATAAACTCAATTGGTTCCCGTCCAAATAGCAATAAAAACGCTCTTAAATTATTCATCACTCAGCGCAGTTTATTTCCTCAACGATAAGTGGGCACTTCAAAAATTTCACTGCCATATTAAAGCATTGTCAGACTACCTTTGAGAGTGAAGAAATTAATGACGTAAAGTGTTTTTTAACCAAATTTGACTATAACAACAAAAACTCTTAGCTCTCCGCCATATTTTGATTTATAAAAAATTATAAGTTATTTGTTTTTTTTTAATCGAAATATGGTGGGGGGAAGACCTGAAACAAGCAAAAACGTGCGTTTGAGTCCCTGAAACGCACGTTTATGAATGTCTCAGGTCTTCCCCCACCATAATTTGATTAAAAAACCAATTTATAAGTATTTGGTTTTTTTTCTATCAAAATATGGTGGGGGAAGAATTGGGGAGAAGCATAAACGTGCGTTTTAGGCCATGAAACGCACGTTTATGCATGTCTCAGCTCTTCCCCTACCATATTTTGATTTAAAAACCAAATACTTTATAAATTGGTTTTTTAAATCAAAATATGGTGGGGAAGACCTGAGAAAAAAAAGAAAAATAAAATCGAAAAATCAATCGGTGTTCTAATTCTTTTTTTTAAATTTTCATATTGCTCAATTACTCTGAATAAGGTGCTCTCTTCAAGTCTGGAGATTGAAATATATAGTTAAACCAAATTGTCGTTAAAACCCATGTAGAATGGAATTGAGAGGTGAATTGGTTTGCACTGGCTCTTTTTGAATGAAAAATTTTGCTGCCACCGTTTTTAAATCCAATTCATGGCTGAAAACCAACCCAAATGACAACAAAAGGCACGTTTATGCATGTCTCAGGTCTTCCCCCACAATGTTTTGATTGAAAACCAAATACTTCATAAATTGGTTTTTTTAAATCAAAATATGGTGGGTGAAGCACTGAGACATCCATGAACATGCGTTTTGTTGTCATTTGGGTTGGTTTTCAGCCATGAATTGGATTTAATTCAAAAATGGTGGCAGCAAAATTTTTTATTCAAAAAGAGCCAGTCCAGAACAATTCACCTCTCAATTCCATTCTACACGGGTTTTAATGTCAATTTGGTTTAACTGTATATTTCAATCTGCAGACTTGAGGAGAGCACCTCATTCAGAGTAATTGAGCAATATGAAAAAAAATTTGGAAAAAAGAAGAATTTTTAGAACACCGATTAATTTTTCGATTTTATTTTTCATTTTTTCCCTATTTATAGCTATAATTGCACAGGAAACGACTTTTTTCTTTTATTTAATCTTTTTTTCACTCTCTTGAGAAACTTGACTTAGTATCTGACCTATGAGTAAGGGGACGACTGAGAGTATGCATCCGAATATGAAGAGGGGCACATTAGTAACTGACCTATGAGTAGGGGGATGACTGAGAGTATGCATCCGAATATGAAGAGGGGCACATTAGTATCTGACCTATGGGTAAGGGGACGACTGAGAATATGCATCCGAATATGAAGAGGGGCACATTAGTATCTGACCTTTGCGTAAGGGGACGACTGAGAGTATGCATCCAAATATGAAGAGGGGCACATTAGTATCTGACCTATGAGTAAGGGGACGACTGAGAGTATGCATCCGAATATGAAGAGGGGCACATTAGTATCTGACCTATGAGTAAGGGGACGACTGAGAGTATGCATCCGAATATGAAGAGGGGCACATTAGTATCTGACCTATGTGTAAGGGGACGACTGAGAGTATGCATCCGAATATGAAGAGGGGCACATTAGTATCTGACCTATGAGTAAGGGGACGACTGAGAGTATGCATCCGAATATGAAGAGGGGCACATTAGTATCTGACCTATGGGTAAGGGGACGACTGAGAATATGCATCCGAATATGAAGAGGGGCACATTAGTATCTGACCTATGAGTAAGGGGACGACTGAGAGTATGCATCCGAATATGAAGAGGGGCACATTAGCATCTGACCTATGAGTAAGGGGACGACTGAGAGTATGCATCCGAATATGAAGAGGGGCACATTAGTATCTGACCTATGGGTAAGGGGACGACTGAGAATATGCATCCGAATATGAAGAGGGGCACATTAGTATCTGACCTATGAGTAAGGGGATGACTGAGAATATGCATCCGAATATGAAGAGGGGCACATTAGTATCTGACCTATGAGTATGGGGACGACTGAGAATATGCATCCGAATATGAAGAGGGGCACATTAGTATCTGACCTATGATCAAGGGGACGACTGAGAGTATGCATCCGAATATGAAGAGGGGCACATTAGTATCTGACCTATGAGTAAGGGGACGACTGAGAGTATGCATCCGAATATGAAGAGGGGCACATTAGTATCTGACCTATGGGTAAGGGGACGACTGAGAATATGCATCCGAATATGAAGAGGGGCACATTAGTATCTGACCTATGAGTAAGGGGATGACTGAGAATATGCATCCGAATATGAAGAGGGGCACATTAGTATCTGACCTATGAGTAAGGGGACGACTGAGAATATGCATCCGAATATGATGAGGGGCACATTAGTATCTGACCTATGAGTAAGGGGACGACTGAGAATATGCATCCGAATATGAAGAGGTGCACATTAGTATCTGACCTATGAGTAAGGGGACGACTGAGAGTATGCATCCGAATATGAAGAGGGGCACATTAGTATCTGACCTATGGGTAAGGGGACGACTGAGAATATGCATCCGAATATGAAGAGGGGCACATTAGTATCTGACCTATGAGTAAGGGGATGACTGAGAATATGCATCCGAATACGAAGAGGGGCACATTAGTATCTGACCTATGAGTAAGGGGACGACTGAGAATATGCATCCGAATATGAAGAGGGGCACATTAGTATCTGACCTATGAGTAAGGTGACGACTGAGAATATGCATCCGAATATGAAGAGGGGCACATTAGTATCTGGCCTATGAGTAAGGGGACGACTGAGAGTATGCATCCGAATATGAAGAGGGGCACATTAGTATCTGACCTATGAGTAAGGGGACGACTGAGAGTATGCATCCGAATATGAAGAGGGGCACATTAGTATCTGACCTATGGGTAAGTAGACGACTGAGAATATGCATCCGAATATGAAGAGGGGCACATTAGTATCTGACCTATGAGTAAGGGGATGACTGAGAATATGCATCCGAATATGAAGAGGGGCACATTAGTATCTGACCTATGGGTAAGGGGACGACTGAGAATATGCATCCGAATATGAAGAGGAGCACATTAGTATCTGACCTATGAGTAAGGGGACGACTGAGAATATGCATCCGAATATGAAGAGGGGCACATTAGTATCTGACCTATGAGTAAGGGGACGACTGAGAATATGCATCCGAATATGAAGAGGGGCACATTAGTATCTGACCTATGAGTAAGGGGACGACTGAGAGTATGCATCCGAATATGAAGAGGGGCATATTAGTATCTGACCTATGCGTAAGGGGACGACTGAGATTATGCATCCAAATATGAAGAGGGGCACATTAGTATCTGACCTATGAGTAAGGGGACGACTGAGAGTATGCATCCGAATATGAAGACGGGCACATTAGTATCTGACCTATGAGTAAGGGGACTACTGAGAATATGCATCCGAATATGAAGAGGGGCACATTAGTATCTGACCTATGAGTAAGGGGACGACTGAGAGTATGCATCCGAATATGAAGAGGGGCACATTAGTATCTGACCTATGAGTAAGGGGACGACTGAGAGTATGCATCCGAATATGAAGAGGGGCACATTAGTATCTGACCTATGAGTAAGGGGATGACTGAGAGTATGCATCTGAATATGAAGAGGGGCACATTAGTATCTGACCTATGAGTAAGGGGACGACTGAGAATATGCATCCGAATATGAAGAGGGGCACATTAGTATCTGACCTATGAGTAAGGGGACGACTGAGAGTATGCATCCGAATATGAAGAGGGGCACTAAGAGGGCGAACACATCTATCCTGTTGAGGAGTCTACCCATAGACTGGTACATGGTCTTCTTCCGCTTGCACTGCTTGCAGAACCTAAAAAAAAAGAAACCAAAATAGCAGTGATTCATTTTATAGAATAATGAATTTATATCTTGTAGCATGTATACTTTTTGTTCTTCGGTTTATATTAAACTTCAGATGTTTGCGAACAAGTGCGGATCTAGGATTTTCACGAGGGGGGGGGGGGATTTTCAAAAAAATCGAAACTTTGGCGACTTTTTTTAGATCGACTAAATTGATTTTCTGAGCTCTTCCAAACCACTATAAAGATCCCATTTTGACCACGTTTTCTGCACCGCATTCATGTTTTTGAAGAAAAAAAACAGGCCAAAAAAAGTTTTAAGGCACTTTTTGGAAAAATTTGACCAAAAAATCGATTTTTGGTCAAAAAAAAAAAGATTTTTTTTTTTTGGCGCGCGCTCCTCCCTCAAAAATTAGTATATACTGGCGCCATTTGCGCCTTCGAGAAAGTTTTAGGTTCCTCACCAAAAATATATATCTGAAAATAGTACAACGGGGTGACCTAAATCCGCTACTGTTTGCTAAGTTTAAATGTTTGTGAAGAAAAAAAAGAACAGTCAACCAAGTTCTTCTGCTTTCGTTACAAAGTTGCAATCTCAAGAATTGCTAAAATTTGTCTTTTTTTTCAAGGTTTGCATTTCATATAAAAAAAGACTGTTTTTCAACTACTGTTGAAAAGTAGCATCAAACATCGTGTGTAATTCCTACGAATTTCTAGCAAAAATTCCCATTTACTGCATAATATTCCAAACAGCCATCGGCAGAAAGTGAACTTTTTACTACTTAGTGAACCAAGACAGTAATGTATTTATGGTTAAATATAGGTATTTTTTGCGCATATTTATAATTTAGCCAAAACTTATTAACTGGAAAAACATCAATATTTTATAACAGAAAAAAAACGCCTAAAACCCGATAAGTTTGAATTATTTAGTGAGCACATATAACTAACAAGCATCAGTCATAAGATACTCACAGGGATCGACTCACGGGCCCTAAGGCCCATCGAGGAGACGTCCATTAACATGTCAAGTCTCAATTTCTAAGAACTCAATCTTTTTTCAAATAATGTCACAAAAGTTTCCATGCTCGACAAAAAATAGCTATTCTTTTTCAGTTTCTTCGTTATCTCAAAATTTGTTATGAAAAATTAAACCGTAATAATTCTACCAATACCGAAAAAAAACAGACTTGCAAAACAGACATAAAAAAATTTTCTTCTTTTATTATATGTATAGGGAAAAATCTATTCCTAATTTTCTTTTCTGGTATATACTTATTTTCAAAGAACGCTTAAATTAAGGCTTCGAAATGATTTAAATGGTTCTTTACGATTTTATATTCTACTACGGTTAGAAACTCCTCTCATCTTTCTTAATATTTAAAAAAAAGACATTCAACAACAAATTGTGATAATGGTTATCTTGCAAGAATCTTGCAAGAAACTTGGAAGATAAACATACATTGTCAAGAAAAATTGGCAAAAATCTTGCAAAATAACTATTGGCTATCGACTGGGGTACCTGCTAAGGAACTCGATGTACTTGGCGTTGGAATCCTCCTTGCCATCCGCCTCCGTGGATCCCTTGCCAATCTTGTGACTCCTGGTGATCTGGTACTTGAGAGGGGTCTCATCGTCCGAGTCTGCGGCATCCATGAGTACTGCATTGATTGCTGTCTTCTTGATTGTTCTGCTCTTTTTGTTCGATGCAGAGTTGGTCGAATACGTCGAGGTCATAGTCGCTGATTTGTTATCACTATAAGCAAAATCTTATTTCACACATTCACAATTTTGTCACGAACACGTATTTTTAAAATAACCATTAACATGATTAACATAAGTAAGCTATTACAATAAATTATAAATCAACTATGACACCGGCATGCAATTATGCAGAAAAAAGATAAGCGAAAACTATAAAAAAAGTGAAATCACCAACCACCAGCGGATTTAGGGGGGGGGGGGGATGCGGACGCCCGCTCTCTCAGGAATTCTACCCACTGCCGGCCCAAAGGCTCCCCCCTTTTGTACTGTTTTGAGATATCAATTTTTGGTGACGGACCAAAAAATTTTTTGAAGGAGCCAAATTTGAGGGGGGGGGGGGTAATAAAAGTGTGCAAATACCACTGGTAAACTAATCTAACTAAACTAAGTTAAAAGACAAAAGTAATGTCGTTAAATTAAAACTGACCGATGTCTAAATAGAGCAACTAGTGACGCGAAGTCCACTGGACTTCGTACGGCTAACAACTAACCGGTATGTAATTAACTGATAGAGATCAAGGTCACTACTTAACAATACAAAATCACAACCTTCCCCAATGCTCGAAAAATTGTATCTGCACTATCACTGGGTAGCCAATGTCGCACATATACTCTCCATTCTCCCCTCACTCCGCAAGGGCTAAAGTTTGAGACAAAAATAATCATCCTTTAGCACCAATGGCATTTACAGGGATAATACAAATTAACGTGGAGATGAATATGGGATAGTTTTTACAGGCTACCTACACAAGGATACAGATATATACAGCGAATGAACAATTAGTTAAAACAGTGTTATGAACAATTGGGGTTATGTATCATATAAACGAAAAGAACAAACTAAACTAAAATGGTGATTGAAATAAAATAGGTTCATCTAAAGGCTAATGTAAAAATTCACTATTGTTGAGAAATGAAAGATAAATTGAAATAATTTCCAATGGTAAAAGATAAGGCTACCTCGAGTTTGAATTAAACATGTGAGTTCTATGAGTTTTATGATGTGGCATTAAGTGTTTCATGAAAATTGTCGGCCTCTTTTCTGGCTACTGAGTCTATAATCGATGATACATCGCTTCCGTCGTCATCTTGAATATCCACTAAACGTTCTACCAATGAAGATGATCTGACTGCAATTTTCGGATTCATTGAAGAAGTGGTCGAGGTTGATCCTTGAGTTGTTTCAGCCACTAAGGTTGGTTTGGGTAATACATCCTCCAGTGGTGTCAAGTAGCCTAAAGGTGAATCTAGGGAATTAGTCGTCAAGGCTTTTTTGGTCGCCGAGAAAATTATGAGTTGCTTTTCTTCCGAGTCCAGGGTATCCGTAATTGTGGTTGCAGGTGACACCTGTTCAATGAATCGCCTTACTCCATAGAATTTGGGTGAGCCTGGATTTCTGCACATAGGGACTTCTGTTACTGCCTCCGTTGTTTTCTCCGGTGAGCTCTCAATTGATATTGGGTTGTCACTAGTGCCAGCGGTTGATGTGATGAACGCTGGGAAAGTGGCTTTACTTGTAAATGTTTGTCTTGACTGATCTAAAGCACTATCGCCACTAAAAGGTTGGGAATTATGAACAGCCTTTTGTGTATTTCCGACATAATGTCGTTATCAAAAATTAAGGTAATTCCTGGGCTTTCTCCCCGAAGGGAAATTTTTGATGTTTTCTCTGACGAAATAAATTCTGTACTTGTATTTTTGTCTTCTTGATTTAGAAATGACCCGTTTCCGAAAAAAAAGAGATGAAAAAAAGAAATAAGTTTTGTCCGAAAGAAAAAGTTGATTCAAATTGATTTTGGCATAATTTAAAGGAATTCAACCGGTTGTGCAAGACTCTGAACTGGACTTCGTACGGCTAACAACTAACCGGTATGTAATTAACTGATAGAGATCAAGGTCACTACTTAACAAAACAAAATCACAACCTTCCCCAATGCTCGAAAAATTGTATCTGCACTATCACTGGGTAGCCAATGTCGCACATATACTCTCCATTCTCCCCTCACTCCGCAAGGGCTAAAGTTTGAGACAAAAATAATCATCCTTTAGCACCAATGGCATTTACAGGGATAATACAAATTAACGTGGAGATGAATATGGGATAGTTTTTACAGGCTACCTACACAAGGATAGAGATATATACAGCGAATGAACAATTAGTTAAAACAGTGTTATGAACAATTGGGGTTATGTATCATATAAACGAAAAGAACAAACTAAACTAAAATGGTGATTGAAATAAAATAGGTTCATCTAAAGGCTAATGTAAAAATTCACTATTATTGAGAAATGAAAGATAAATTGAAATAATTTCCAATGGTAAAAGATAACGCTACCTCGAGTTTGAATTAAACATGTGAGTTCTATGAGTTTTATGATGTGGCATTAAGTGTTTCATGAAAATTGTCGGCCTCTTTTCTGGCTACTGAGTCTATAATCGATGATATATCGCTTCCGTCGTCATCTTGAATATCCACTAAACGTTCTTCCAATGAAGATGATCTGACTGCAATTTTCGGATTCATTGAAGAAGTGGTCGAGGTTGATCCTTGAGTTGTTTCAGCCACTAAGGTTGGTTTGGGTAATACATCCTCCAGTGGTGTCAAGTAGCCTAAAGGTGAATCTAGGGAATTAGTCGTCAAGGCTTTTTTGGTCGCCGAGAAAATTATGAGTTGCTTTTCTTCCGAGTCCAGGGTATCCGTAATTGTGGTTGCAGGTGACACCTGTTCAATGAATCGCCTTACTCCATAGAATTTGGGTGAGCCTGGATTTCTGCACATAGGGACTTCTGTTACTGCCTCCGTTGTTTTCTCCGGTGAGCTCTCAATTGATATTGGGTTGTCACTAGTGCCAGCGGTTGATGTGATGAACGCTGGGAAAGTGGCTTTACTTGTAAATGTTTGTCTTGACTGATCTAAAGCACTATCGCCACTAAAAGGTTGGGAATTATGAACAGCCTTCGGGTCAGTTCCCAAATAATCCTCTAAAACATTATCCCAATGATCTAAGTCTAGTGAAGAAGAAAAATCCGATTTAACGAAATTTGAACCTTTGTTGGCTAAAGCTTTTGTTTTCCTCCTTTTCGTAGTATTTAGGCTCGTTGGTGTGTATGCTGTTGATGGGCCGGTTTCATTGGAATCCTTTCTTTTCAACGGAGAATTTCTCTTTCGGTTCCCTGCTAAATCATAATTACTAATTAAGGTATTCGGTACTGATGAAAGTTTTTAAGGAGCCAAAGGTTGAGTTTTCTTGAAGGCGAGATCTGATTTCTAAGTATATGGCCATTATCTAAGGTTACCGTATGTGTTGTATCAGACAAATGTTTTCCGCCAAGGGGTTTAAAATACGGTTCGCCTTCCCTTCTGTTAACCGTCTTCCTTAACCAATTACCTCTTTGGTTGAAGGGGTTAGATAGTGGGGCTCTTTGCGGGTCTTGATCGGTTTTATCCGTCGTGTCGCTCTCGTATCCCCTCCTGTCCAGTATTGTTTCTTCCAAATAACTGTCCTCTATAATGTCATTCACTCTCCAATCCTATGGTCTATCTCTCGACAAAATTGACTTCTCTTTATCTAAACTAATGGCCCGTGAGACCAATGATTTACAGAATGTGTTTGGGGATCTTTTAAAATATTTAGAAAAAGGGGAACATCCAATGGATGATTGTTTCCTTGAATGAAGGTTCCAAATGGTTTTATTGATTGCCGCGTTTGGAGTTGGCTTAGGTTCGTTAAACGACGTTACTAAAAGTTTTGCTTTAATCGTATAAATGAGGCCTTCTACGACTCCATTGAACCTATGATCTCCGACTGTAAATGAAATTAGATTATTATTCTTCTTCTCGCAGAAGTTTTTAAAATCGTTCGAAATGAAACATGACTCGTGGTCCGCTCTAATAGACTTCGGATACCCATGTAGATGACAGTGATCCGACATAAATGTTAATAATGAGGAAGCTGAGGTTTTGTTCACTACTTTAGCCGACGGAAATTTTGAGAATCGATCTATGCATAAAAGAAGGTATTTTGAATTTCCCCATTTTTTCTCCAATGGGTCAGCAAGGTCCAAGTCTAATTCTTCATTTGGTTCTGATAAGACTGGTAATTTCTCTGTATTGTTTGAGCCCAAAAAAGCTTTAAGATTCTTACCAGCTATTATGCACTGAATGCAGTTTTTCCCGTGGTATATTCTCTCTATACAAGTGTGGCCACCATATGTTTTCCGCTAACGATTTCATTCCGAATTGTCCTGGGTGCGTTTCGTGTGGTAGTGACATGAATGGAGATCTCAGAGCTGCTGGTACTGTCAGTTTGTTGTCATTAAACAGTAGTCCTTCCTTCACGTGGATGTCCCGTCGGAAGGTTTTTAGATAAGCTCCAAATCTGTCCAGGGGTCTGCCGTCTTCCACTGCCTTCTTCACGTCCTTTAGTATTTTGTCCTCGTATGTACTTAATTTGATTAATTTGTTTGGATAGTGTTCCGTAAATACTAATGGGCAACTGGGCAACTTTAGTTCTCACTTGTATTTGGCGAGAAGTTTTCTGTGTATTTCCGACATAATGTCGTTATCAAAAATTAAGGTAATTCCTGGGCTTTCTCCCCGAAGGGAAATTTTTGATGTTTTCTCTGACGAAATAAATTCTGTACTTGTATTTTTGTCTTCTTGATTTAGAAATGACCCGTTTCCGAAAAAAAAGAGATGAAAAAAAGAAATAAGTTTTGTCCTAAAGAAAAAGTTGATTCAAATTGATTTTGGCATAATTTAAAGGAATTCAACCGGTTGTGCAAGACTCTGAACTGGACTTCGTACGGCTAACAACTAACCGGTATGTAATTAACTGATAGAGATCAAGGTCACTACTTAACAATACAAAATCACAACCTTCCCCAATGCTCGAAAAATTGTCTCTGCACTATCACTGGGTAGCCAATGTCGCACATATACTCTCCATTCTCCCCTCACTCCGCAAGGGCTAAAGTTTGAGACAAAAATAATCATCCTTTAGCACCAATGGCATTTACAGGGATAATACAAATTAACGTGGAGATGAATATGGGATAGTTTTTACAGGCTACCTACACAAGGATAGAGATATATACAGCGAATGAACAATTAGTTAAAACAGTGTTATGAACAATTGGGGTTATGTATCATATAAACAAAAAGAACAAACTAAACTAAAATGGTGATTGAAATAAAATAGGTTCATCTAAAGGCTAATGTAAAAATTCACTATTATTGAGAAATGAAAGATAAATTGAAATAATTTCCAATGGTAAAAGATAACGCTACCTCGAGTTTGAATTAAACATGTGAGTTCTATGAGTTTTATGATGTGGCATTAAGTGTTTCATGAAAATTGTCGGCCTCTTTTCTGGCTACTGAGTCTATAATCGATGATATATCGCTTCCGTCGTCATCTTGAATATCCACTAAACGTTCTACCAATGAAGATGATCTGACTGCAATTTTCGGATTCATTGAAGAAGTGGTCGAGGTTGATCCTTGAGTTGTTTCAGCCACTAAGGTTGGTTTGGGTAATACATCCTCCAGTGGTGTCAAGTAGCCTAAAGGTGAATCTAGGGAATTAGTCGTCAAGGCTTTTTTGGTCGCCGAGAAAATTATGAGTTGCTTTTCTTCCGAGTCCAGGGTATCCGTAATTGTGGTTGCAGGTGACACCTGTTCAATGAATCGCCTTACTCCATAGAATTTGGGTGAGCCTGGATTTCTGCACATAGGGACTTCTGTTACTGCCTCCGTTGTTTTCTCCGGTGAGCTCTCAATTGATATTGGGTTGTCACTAGTGCCAGCACTATCGCCACTAAAAGGTTGGGAATTATGAATTATGAATTACACTATTTATATCAATTGCATCCACTGGATTTTTGATTAACAATTCGTTCTTTTTACAATTCTTCTTTGTGCAAATACTTTTTACAGTTAAGTTTTCTAAAATCTTGTTCAACGTTGCCACCACGAATTCATTATCGTAATATGAGGTTGGGAGGGTTTTTCGTGTTGGCAATCTCGATAATAAACCTCTGAATCCCGTTTTTCTTCTTGGGATATGTTTGATTTTAAAGTTGAACAGTAAAAGTCGATTTACCCAATGGGTCAGTCTGCTGTGCATTGTTTTACTACTTTGATGGCTTTAATGCCGATAAGAAGGCCTTGTGGTCAGTAACCTTTTCGAACTTGGCTCCATATCAGTAATTCTTGAAATGGTCAGTAGCCCAGACCACTCCCAAAATTCGAGTTCATTAGTCGAGTATTTCATTTCGTGATTGTTTAAAAATCGTGAGACAAATGCTATAGTCAGCTAATTTTTTCGTCCCACTGTTTTAGTGTGGATCGCAAACCACTGTGCGAAGCATCTGTTTTTAGTCTTGAAGTCCTTTTTATGTCGAAGTGGTTATTCTCTGTTATATTTACGATCTGCCTTTTTAGTTCTTCAAAAGCTTTCGTATGTGATTCGCCCAATGGTAAATTGATTTTTTAAGTAATAATGGACGTAACGGAGAACTTAGCGTTGATAAATTCGGGAAAACCTTCATGTATTGGCTTATCGAGCCAAAGAATGACCTTAATTAGTATATTTTTTTCGGGTTCGGGTGATTTTTTATCGAATTTGATTTCGTCACCATTGGTTTTAACCCCGATTGGAATATCTTGAATCCCAGCCATTCTATGTCCTTTTGAAAGAACGCACATATCTCTCACTTGACTGCCATCTTCTTACTATCCAAAATGCTTAAGATCTTCCAGAGTATCGCTTTGTGTTCTTCAAAGGATCCTTTTGAGGCTATTAAATTGTCGTCGATGTAACAGTTGGTAAATTATATATCTTTTAGTAGCTAATCCATTACCCTTTGGAGTTCATTAGGCATATGCCCAGTCCGTAGAATCCCGTTAAAAACGAATCCCGATATGTCACGGTGGTATCGCCCCCTACGATGCTGAAATTGCATTGTTGGCTCGTGTCAGTGCATAATTGTATTTGTTTGTATGAACTTTTTAAGTCTAAATTGCTGAACCATAATGCCCCTGAGTTTTTATTTGAAAGTAGGGAGGCAATGTTTTCGATAAGTTTGTGTATGTTTGGCATTCGATATTTGTTCTTGATCATCTGATCTTTCAAAATTTTTAAGTCTAGGGCTAATTTGATACTGCCATCCTCTTTCTTTGTGATTACAATTGGACAAAGAAACAGTCTTTGCAGCTTTTACTGACTTTCACAACATGCCCCAATTGTTCCATCCTATTTAATGCTATTTTTACACTTCCTTCTAATAAAAGTAAGGGAGTTTTTTTGGCTTTGGATTGGATAAGTTTGAACGGGCTGTAAAAACGAGTGATTTTTCTGTCCAATGGTATTTTTTCTACTCTATTAAAAAGAAGTGTCACGTTGTTGACTTGTAGTAATGATTGTCTTTGCGCTATTTCTATTCCAATTCTGAGTAAATTGTCGTTTCCTAAGATATTCCTCTCATGTCCAGTGGCAAAAAAATGGAGTAACTTCAGAGATCCATCCGTTGGATTGTATCCTGACTATTTCTTTCCCAAAGATTTTGATTGTGTCGTTAGTGAAGCCACAGTATAGTTCTTGAACACGAATTTTCTTGCCGACTGGATGAATTATCAGTTTCGGATTTCTTAATTTCAGCTCTTGTAAAACATTCTTTTATAAGAAGCTTACCGGGCTAGCCGATTCCACTGTTTTGTTCATGTTAACTATTGCGTCTTCTCCCAATCCAATGTTTACGAGTTTTTTTTTAGTTTCGAGGCCGTTGTTTTCGAAGATAGTTCTGATGTTCCTCTCTTCCGTCCATGCGTTAATCACTCCACAAAATTTTTTAATCTGTTATTGCTTGTGGGTCTTCTGGGGAATATGAACAATTCTGATTATATACAAATTCTTCTTCTTCATTATTTACAACTGGCCTTCTCCCTTTCGATTTACATAGTCTTCCAAAGTTTACTTTATATTAACAATTATTACAAATTTTTTCCTTCGCCGGAAAACGTTCAAATGTCCTTTGGTAAAAGCGTTTCCACAATTCATACAGGTGTTGGTTCTTTCTATGTTCAGGCTTGGTTCTTTTTTTCAGCATTAAAATTTTTGGACACTCTACCGCTAATGACGTTGCATGACCTTGTCATGTTTGTTAGTTTAAGGTGGTTGTTGTATCCTTTCTCGTCTATTATAGCTTGGTTAAGTGCGTCAACTGGATTAAGAGTTTCTGAGAGTAGTCTTCGTTGTAAGTCACAGTTCTTCAGTACTACACGTCTCTTATCCTTTCTTGTTCAGCGTTGATGCCAATCTCGCAAGATCTTGCAAAGTCCGACAGCGCTCCCCAGAATTGTTCGTAGGATTCCCCATCCTTTTGTTTTCTGCTAAGCAGTTTATAGCGCTCAAACGTGATATTTGTAGGTTTTATAAATGCTGCCTCCAGTAGGTCAAAAAAGAAATTGCTAGGACTTTCACCCTCGGATGTTTTGAGAAAACACTCTCTTTCCTTCAGTTCTCAAAGTCAGGTATAGGACGGATCTTACGTTTTTATCATCCTCGTATCTCCTCATGCCTCCGAATTTCTGTTTCTCCTCCAACATTTGTTTTTCTTCTGATTGTTCATAAACTTGCATGGTTTCTTTGATTCTGGCCTCCCTGGCTTTCCTCTGTGGTTAATTTTCTGAATCCTGGGCGCCTTCTATTATAGGGATTGTACTTTCTTGTTCCAATGATTCTTTTAGGTTATCTATGTCAAGATTCTATTTGGCAAAATTGGCCAAATGGAACTGATCTATCCAGTTAGTCCAATCGGTGGGCGAATCTATAGTGTGTTTTGATCAAAAGGCGGGAATTCCCCGCAGATTCGAATCAGTTAATGACGGCGCCATATTAAAGGTGTGCAAATACCACTGGTAAACTAATCTAACTAAAATAAATTAAAATACTTTAAAAATGTGATAATGTGGATAAATTAAAACTGACCGATGTCTAAATAGAGAAACTAGTGACACGAAGTCCATTGTACTTCGTGCGGCTAACAACTAACCGGTATGTAATTAACTGATAGAGGTCAAAGTCACTACTGAACAATACATAATCACAACAGGGGAGGAGGGGAGCGCGCGCCAAAAAATTGCATTTTTTTTGGTCAAGATTTTTCCAAAAATTGCCTAAAAACGGCTTTTTTGGCCCGTTTTTTTCCAATTTTAGCCTGCGAAATGGAATCTTTATAATGATTTAGGAGAAGGCAAAAATTCAGTTTGGTCGACCTAAAATTCTTTATTTATTTTGACGAACTCCGACTTTTTTCCGTTTTACCGCTCCATCTTTTTGATATATTGATTGAGATCGGGCACGGATCTTGGAACTTCTTGCGGGGGGGGGGGGGGGATTTTCAAAAAAAATTCGAAATTTTTTTCGACCTTTTTTAGGTCGAGAAAAATTTCAAAATTTTTTTTGAGAATCCCCAGGATCAACTTCATTTTCTGAGCTTTCGCAAATCACTATAAAGATCCTATTTTGACAAAAATTTGTGCGCCACAAACAAATTTTTTAAAAAACAGGCCAAAAAGAGGCACTTTTTGGATAATTTCGACCAAAAAAATTGCGTATAGAGAAAAATTGGTATCTGTTTAACTACATTTATCCCTCTTTTGTAGTTAAAGAAATCCGCTAACTGCTCAAGAGCTGATATTGATTAGTGTTAAGGATTGACCTTTGCTTTGACTTGCGGGGGGATGCGGGAGGGAGTGGGGCGAGGAAACTATCCTTTTCGCCATCTCGGGTGGAGTCGTTTGCGTTCTTCCCTTCTTCCTGCCGACTGTCGTCGTTGTTCGCTTTAGCCGGACTGGTTTCTTCCTCTGGTTTAGTACCAGTGTTATTCTCTTCTTCATCCATAGTTTGTGGCTCAAATTGCAGCATATAAAGCTATGTTTAAATAAAGCAAGAAAAATAAATAATGAATTAGTTTTTATGCGACCAATTTAAAGGAAAAAAAATTGTAAAAACCTAAGTGCTTGAAATATTTGCAGTTCACGCGCGGTTTTTTTTGGTCGGTTAGAAATGAATCAATCGACAAATGACTAATCGATTGGAAAAATAGAAATGTATTAGAAGTAATATCCAAGAAAAAATTGTATGATTAACTTCAACTTATGAAATATATTAAGAAAATATACACAAGAAAAAACGGTTAAACTAAAGCAGATTCAATGGTTCCGCTGAAAATTTGAATCTTGAAATTTTCTACTTTCAGGTATGTCAAATAAGTAGTAAAAACAATAACGAGAGTAAGAAGTTCAAAAGCAACGGAATGGGTGCAAAAGGAAGTTGCAATATTCCCTTGATTGGGTGCAAAAAGTGCCCAAACTTCACCAAAACTTTCAGATTGATACAATTACAACCACAAGGGACAAAATTTAACCGGCGTAAGACGGGGGTTTACCCAATTTAACTCTACTCTAGTGGCCCAAACTATAAAATCAATGGTCCATTTTGAGTGAGAACTGATTTTATGGTTATGCGAATCAAATTGGGTACTTGGGTACTTACTTATACAAAAATTATACAATCTAAACTCCAGCTTTCGGCCAGGTTTTGCCAGTTTTGCCTAGGTTGACCAATTACTTTTAAATTTAGTCCAGAAACTTCAAAAAAGGAGTCCAGTACCTGTACTTACCTAGTATGTTTTTCAATACTCTCGTTGATACCTAGGGAAAATAAATGGCCGCTAAATGGGTTGTTTATCGCGGAAAGTTGTCAAAAATTGAACAATATTTTGGGAAAACGGAAACCGGGTAACTTCTTAAAGGTCGTTATATTTGAGGCTATATGTTTATTTTTGTTACTATATTTCAGTAAACTTCCCGTGAAATCTAGAATTGAATGAACTGCCTATACTGCTGTTGTAGGCTAAATATGAAAAGGGGAATTCCTTGCCTACCTCTGCTGGGCCTCTTAGCGAAAATGGCGCTCAGGGTAAGTAAGTTGTAAAGTGTGCAGCGTAAAGAACTATAGGGTTACTCTTTAGCTACTATTTACTATATATAAATAGTAATTTCAGGTATTCCGCGCCAAACAGGGGAAAAAATCAAAGGAAAAAATAAAATATATCAAGCAGTCTTATCCTGTCTTATAGTCTCTCTCCTACAATTGCCGTATAATTTAGAACCGGATTCATAAAAGAGGGGATTTTTCACAAAGAGCGGGAAAACAGATAGATAAAATTTGTGGGCATACAATGAAAAACAGGCTGCCAAATTGGAAATGGAAAAGGAAATGGAAACAGGAAATCGTTAATTATTGATAGGTATTGTAGTGATCAGTAGCGTGCTGAATAGGGGGCTTCATTTTTGAATGCCAAATTTTCTCTAAAGGATTGTGCTTTCAGTACTTTTTTACAATATAGATTTTGGTCGATCATTCCTATTTTTTTCGAGAGAGCTTTTGGCGCCAATCATTGAATCAGAGATATCTCAGTTTTGTAGAAAATTTTATGTCTAATTCAGGCCAATCCCAGTTGTACGAAAACTTTTGCGATGGTTCAGGGTTATTTCATGGCTTTTTATCAGCGATGGTCATGGATAAATTAGCCATGTTAAATCCCTGAATCAGCGATGAAAAAAATTTCAGAAAATTTTGATTTGATTTTCAAGTTTCGTTATGTGTCTAGTTTGTGGTAAAAATTAATTAAAAAAGGTTGGAATTGCTGAAAATTCAACCATTTTTCCGATTGCAATTTCGCGCGTGCAAAATTTTATATTTATAAATCTTTTGAATGATAGCATAGTATTATCTGGGACAAAAAGTCATGTGGCCCATAGAAAAAATCTGCGAATTAGAAAAATACTTTTTAAGGTTCATCTAAACTAGCGAAATATATTCCCAACAACCTATAGAATTTGAAAACAAAGGTTTAAAAAAATTCATTACTTAGCAGATATCAATTTTATAACACCTGACTTTATATTCCATCGTTTTGAATTAATTTTTTCGCGAAAACTTCAGGGTGATTGTAAGAATTAGTTTTCAAAGAGATCAAAAATGAAATATCAATTGAATCAAAATTTTTCAAAAACTGCATTGATCATTGGAGCTTATTTTAGAAAAATCAAGTGACAAAACAATTCAATCAAAATTTTTATCGGTTGAATTGATTGTTAGAAAAATCAAAATCGAAGCGTGAATTGAATCTTTGATAATCATAAAGACAATAAAGGGAAATGAGGTATACAGTTCAGGGATACTGTCTCTCTAAAGTTTTTTTATTCCCTGTCATTTTCTTTAATGTCATTATCATTTTTTATAGTCTTTGGCAAATTTTTTCTAAGTTTTGATTGCATTCAATATTCATTGATATAGCATTGATCTAAATCGGGCTGCTTCTGAAAAAAAACACTGAATGATGTGAAAATTTATTGATCATCGTCTTTAAAAAAATCGAGAAAGTTGATTGCAATTCATCAAATACTAACATCAAATTCAAGTGCGAAAATGACGCGAAGAATTTTCGGATTTTGTGCAAAACAACTTTAGTTTCTTTTAAAAGTTTCCAATAATCAAACGGAAGATAATGTAGCTTCAGAGAGGATGTCGGTAGAAAAACCGTACATTCGCTGTGAACCAGTTTGCGAACTGGATTAAAAAAAACTTCTAGCAACAAGAAACTGCGTACATATTGTTGCACTACTTATAACATAATTTTTCAGATATCCATCTTTGGCCAGTTTTTTTAACCGCCTGAGAGTCATTCAGGATGACGACATTAAAACTTCTAAGACTGAATAGCTTACGTAGAGTTTTCAAATCTAATCCAGATAAAACATCTGTCAGGTAACCCTCTTAATTTTCTGTAAATTAGCTCTCGAAAAATTTGTGCCCACACCCCTACTTAATCTATGGACTATGCTAGTAACCAGCAACTGAAAAAAAAAGTGGCTAAATTCAAGCTCATTTCAAATCGGGGACAAACTTTGTAATCGATCTTAATTTTTTTTACTCCGTTTTTGTGTAAGCTTTTCGAGACGAAACAGCCTAAAAAGAAACAAATTTCAATTTTTCAGCGGCATTTTTAGGCAGTAACAAGTTTCTTTTTTCATAATCTCAGCTCGCAATTTTCGGCCCTACTTTTTTAACGGAAATAAACAAACCGTCTGTTTTATAAGTGTAGGCAAAGTTGACGCTGTATTGAACTACTAAACCAAAACTAGAAAAAAAGAATACATGAAAACCAAAAAACAGAGTTGTAATTTTTAAAATAAATAAATAAAACTAATACATCTGGGAAGCGTCTACAAAATAAAACATAACTGGAACAAACTCATCAAACATCTATAAGAGGATGAAGGAAAAATTCTGTCGAGAATCTTGCAAAATTATTTTATTTTATTAGAAGTTAACTGCAAGCTTTGGATGTATTGCAAGTGTTTTGCAGTTTGAGGTTTTTTTAGTTATAATGGTTTTGTATTACTCACTGTTTTAGCTCTGTGACGGATGGCTATTAAGACATATGTAAAAACTAAATGCACCAAACTTTCTAACCTTCAAATGTTTAATAAAGCACTTAATATTTTTTACATAATACTGCTTTAACTCGGCTTGAATATGCACAAAAGTTAATGACTCAATTTAAACTGCAGCTGCTTAAAATATAAGAGGTAGTTGATGATGATTAGAAAGTCAAGTGTCATTTTAGATTCATTATCAGTGGTACTTTTGACAATATGTTTAAAATTTAATCGCAAATAATTTGGTTTTCCAGATGCAAATTGATTAATTTTTCAGATGGAATAATATCAAATTTTGAGTTCAATCCATCTGAAAGTGTTGTTTGGCAGTGGGCCTGAGTTTCCTAGCAAGCGGAACTTAAACATTTCCAGTATTCTTTCAAAATTTGTTTGTCTTTTTCTTGCTTTTCGCTTATTTTATTGAAATTGTTGTATCCGTTTATTTGATTAAAAAAAAACGCACTGAAAGTTCCACTTGCGAGTTTCGATTATGCAAAAAATTCAGCAAACTGGGTATTATAAAAGCACTCGCTCAGGTGTTCCGGGTCTTGTACATTACGATGATAAGGCCAAGTACTGTGACTGTGGTTTGAACTCTTCATGCCTTACCTCTGAAATCCGCAAATTGGTTTTGGGTTCCTCAACATTTCTAAAACTCCGAAAAATTGGTAATTTGATAAATCGAAAGGTAAAGACAACTTTTTAGAGGATCCCGCACACAACTTTTCTTGCATTTCTCACTGGGTTCCAATATTTCTAATGGGTTGCACGATTTGTCAATTAACGATTATTTTAGGTCGATAAAATTCGGTTATCGAGCACCCCCAGAACAATATGAAGACACTTTTTTTACTAAAAACTTTGCGCCGCAGACAATTTTTGAAAAAAGCAGGTCAAAAAAAAATTGTTTTTAAGCGCTTCTTGAAAAACTTTCACCAAAAACTTGCATTTTTCCGGCGCGCGCTCCCCTTCAAACGTACTATACGTTGGCGCCAAGGGCGCCTTTAGAAAAAATTTAGTGTCAAATATCAGCGGTTAAAACTAATCTTGCATTTTGATTGTTCAGGTTTCATGATTTATCAGTAACTTTTGTTGACAATAAAAATAAAACTTTTTTTCAGCATCGACAAGTTGAGGAGCCTGTTGTGATTGGATCTTATTTTGCATTTATTGCAAACCTTATTTACCCTAATTAGATTTAGATAACAGGTCACTCTTATATGACCTTAACTGGCCATTTTCTCCGGCGGAGAGAATGATCTCTCATTGTTTTAATGTTTTAACTTACCGACTAATTCACTTTAATTCTTTATTCTTTTTCATAGTTTTAACTTAGAATTAGCTACAACAAAGTAACATTTTATCATGGCGCAGTCAAATAACGAATCTAACATAAGAGGAATACCTTCATTTTGGCAAAACCATACTGTAGATCCCCCCATTCCCTGGGAAGATTGGAGCGATCTGTTTCACTTAGCTATAATTGGTAAAAGGAATATAGACATAGAAAACTTACTAAATCCTTCGGAGAGACATCACCCTCAACCTCCAAATTTAAAAATCCGATGGACGGTGAAACAGATAACCAAAGACAGTCGAGAATGGAGAGAAACACCCAAGAACAAAGACGATATGACGAAGAGGAATCAGCCTCCACTAAATCTGAAACCAACCAATTCAATGGAATGCGACTAGAAGAAGCAGATAAAAAATTACGATCAGTCCTATACCTAGCATTGGGAAACGAAGGAAAAAGGATTTTCGGACAAAAATTTACCAAGGTGAAAATCTTACAAATCTCTTTTAAAGAATTTTGGGACTTCCTAGCGATCGCTTTCGTAAGAAAGACAAACGTCACATTTGAACGAAATAAACTGCTATACCGAAAACAACGGGATAGAGAATCGCTGGAACATTTTTGGGTTGCCTTAGCAGAAATGGCAAAAAAGTGCGACATAGCCGCAGGAGAAGAAGAGTGGATACGAGACATTTTCATAAACAACATGAAAAACTACGACATCCAAAGAAAACTGCTAACAGAAACTCTTCCCCCACGAGAAGCACTAAACGTAGCGCTCATAGACGAAAAGGAAATTTTAAATCACCTAAAACTAATAAACAATTTTAAATCCAACGGATCATCCGTACATAAATCACACTGCCACTTTAACGTTAAAAGAGAGCCAACTCTCAATATTGAAAAAAGCAACAACTGTATGAATTGCGGCGGAATCTTCTCAAAAGGCCACCTAGCAGTTTGCCCAGCAAAGGACACTACCTGTACTTCTTGTAAAAATAAAAGTCATTTTACCAGACTTTGTAGATCTCGCCGTAAAAATGTAAACATTGTAAATTGTCAAATTGTAGATAATACAGATTTCAATCCGTCGGATATTCCGGATGTAAATACACACCATGTAGATAGAAAATGTTGTGGCGTCATAAACGCATGGTCGGAATCTGGACAAAGCGATAACGACGATTATTCTGTATTAACTACGATTTTTGATGAAGTCAGAAAAGAATTGAAGAAATTATTGAATTTTGCCCTCGGAAAAGAAAATCAATTAATTTTAAATATACAAGTGGATTCAGCTAGCCCGATCAGCTTCCTCAAGAAAAACGTGTTACACGAATTGAAACTACGAGACCCTTGCTTGAAAATGTATCCGGTGGACAAGGCACAATGACCTTTACTGTGAATTCATGGATAACGCCATAAACATTTCTGGAAAGGTGATACTTCCCATCTTCTCAAACGGTTGGTCACACAACGACTGTCATTTCTTCTTGACCGAGGGACACGAGAGAAATATCTTAGGAAATGACAATCTACCGAAAGTGGGGATAGAAGTCTCACAGAAGTACTTCCCGCATTTCCAGACTAACAAGCAGTGTAAGTCAATAAATTCCATCTCTCAAACAGACAAAGATAGGGAAACTCTAAACATATAAAAAACAT